GTGTGTGTGTGTGTGTGTGTGTTACAGATGTGAGTGAGTGAGTGTGTGTTATAGATGTGTGTGTGTGTGTGTGTTACAGATGTGTGTGTGTGTGTGAGTGTGTGTGTGTGTGTTATAGTGAGAGTGTGTGTGTGTGTGTGTGTGAGTGTGTGTGAGTGTGTATGTGTTATAGTGAGAGTGTGTGTGTGTGTTATAGTGAGAGAGTGTGTGTGTGTGTGTATATATGTGTTATAGTGAGAGTGTGTGTGTGTGTTATAGTGAGAGAGTGTGTGTGTGTGTGTATATATGTGTTATAGTGAGAGTGTGTGTGTGTGTTATAGTGAGAGAGTGTGTGTGTGTGTGTATATATGTGTTATAGTGAGAGTGTGTGTGTGTGTTATAGTGAGAGAGTGTGTGTGTGTGTGTATATATGTGTTATAGTGAGAGTGTGTGTGTGTGTTATAGTGAGAGAGTGTGTGTGTGTGTGTATATATGTGTTATAGTGAGAGTGTGTGTGTGTGTTATAGTGAGAGAGTGTGTGTGAGTGTGTGTGTGTGTGTTATAGTGAGAGTGTGTGTGTGTGTGTGTGTGAGTGTGTGTGAGTGTGTATGTGTTATAGTGAGAGTGTGTGTGTGTGTTATAGTGAGAGAGTGTGTGTGTGTGTGTATATATGTGTTATAGTGAGAGTGTGTGTGTGTGTGAGTGTGTGTGTGTGTGTGTGTCAGCAGGGAGGTCCCTGACGGTGCAGAGCGTAATACCAGAGGATGTGCCTGATGAGAAAGCTAGTGTGAGGTTTGCTCTCAGGATGTCCATGACTGCATGTTGCGGAGCATAGCCTCGAAGCGCTCCAGGGTGGGGGCCTGAGCGTGGGACAGCTGGTCGGTCAGCCGACTGTACAGACTGAAGGACTTGAGCTCCAGCCAAATAAAGCCAAAGTGGTCATCATCGAATAGCACGAACAGACCCGGTGTGCGCTCTGGACTCGTGAAGCCGTGGCCGGCGATCAGGCCTGTTCCATAAAAACTGAAACACATAAAGGAAATCCATATTATAATTAAACAAACTAACACTTTATTTTAAGGAGTCCTTGTTACAGTGTAATTCTACATTTAAGTACTGAGTAATATGAATTAACTACATGTACTTACTATATGGTTAGGGTTAGGATTAGGGTTACTTGCATGTAATTATGCATAATTATTGTTATTATAATAGTAAGTACATGTAACGTGTAACAAGGACACCTTAAAATAAAGTGTTAGCTATTTTTTCATCCATTTAAATAAAAATAAAAATGAATATATTTTGTATTATATTTTAAAGTGTACAGCACATTCCTTTATATTCATATATATTTAATTATTTAGTTTTTTTAAGTTAGAATAATAAATTGTAAAGTGTGTGTGTAATTGGGTTTTAAGTAAAAAAAAAAAAACTTAATTTAAATTATTTTCATGTCAATTTTATATTTTATTAGTTATATATAATGTATATAAACATTTAAAATAATTACAAGAAGTGTATTTAATATTTTTAAATTAATATATTATATATTTAATTCTAAGTTCCATATAAATTATATACATACAAAAACTTAAAAAGCTAATTTAAAAAATGATGTCTATTTGATGTATTTTATATAAAATACAATGTAATACCTTTTAACATGCATTAGGGATGCAACGATACCATTTTTTTTAGAACTGATCCGATCCGATACCAGAAATTCTGAGTATCGGCCAATTTCGATCCGATCCGATACCAGCACTTTTTTTTTTTTTTTAAATCAATGTAGAATTTCTATACTTCTGTGTGTTCACCTGATCATCACTCTTGTGTGTGTTAAACACAATCTACTAAATATAGACAACTTCATTTTAATGAAAAATAACAAACGAAAAAAATATATAATCATAATCTATAACAAAAAATACTATTATAAACTAGGTCAGTGGATAATTCAGCAGCAAAAGCTATTCTAGAAAAATCATGGGTGCACAATTTTATAACAAAATTAAACTAAACATTTAGGGAAACAACATTATTTAGTGGGGAACAAATAAAAGATAATAAGTGTAGGACTAAATCTGGTAAAATGTTACACTCTTGTGTATGCTCTTTGTATTGTTGTAAAATACATTAATAAAAAACAAGCAGCCTAAATACAGTTTTAAATCTCAGTTATTGTGTGCTCTTGAAGAGTTTCATCGCCTTGACTGTCGTAACCGAACACAACACGCAGATTGAACGCTGAATGGAAGATGACAGAAAGCCGCAGCGGAGAGAAGAGTTTACATGAACTTGACTTAAATATTCATCTGTACCTCACATTAAACTATGGAAAAGCTTCAGAACACTTGAAATATTGTGCACGAAAACTTTATGGTGCTTTATAATGTTTTTGTGGCTTGACAATAACAGAATAGTATACGCACAATATCGGATTTGGATCGGTCTCGTCTGACCGATACCCGATCCGACAGAAAATGGCAATATCGGAGCCGATACTGATCCTGACTATCGGATCGATGCATCCCTAGTAGGGATGTGCATCTCATGACTCAGGCCGATACGATACGCATCTCGATGCATAGCCAACGATACGATACATTAAAGACACATATGAAGCAGCTACCGATGCGATTCACCCGTTACGGTGCAGTGCGATCCGATTTCAATTCAATTCAACACAATGCGATTCGAGACAATACGATGCAATGGAAAAAATATGATCACTTTTAATGCCTCAAGGCCTGTTTCATAAAACAAGTTTACCAAATAAGCCAGGCTTATTTCAGTTAGTCTGACTCATCGTCAAATGATTTGGTTCCATAAAGCAAATTTAACATAGATCAACTTCAGTCACTGTGGCAACGTATGCTGGGAAACTAACCTGGTCTAAAGCAGGCTAACTGTCAGACTAAGCT